GGTTTTGATTTGATGAAAAGAAATTTCCTGTAAAGACAAACAACAAACGAATGAAAAAAAATGAACAGGGGGACAAAAACCGGAAAGTTTTTCGGTTGTTTTTGTTTTGGCTTCCCTTATCCCCCCACACACACACACATTTTTTTTTGCTTCAAACCAAAAAGTTATTTTTTTCAACTGAAAAATATTTTTTTGAAATGGAATTTGGGCGTTGTGTGTGTAATGTTTGGATAAGCAGAAAATTTTTTATCTCACATATGGTTGGTGTTTGTTGTTTTACTAAATAGATTTTTTTTTTGATAGAATATTTTGATAGATAGGTAGATATAGACAGGTGTTTTGATAGGGAAAAAAATGAATGAATGAATGACAAAATGACAAATTCAAAAAAACAAAAAACAGGACAGAGTGAAACGAATGTTTGTTTAATTTTTCTGAAATGACAATATTTGATTATCATCAATATTTTAAATGGTCAAAATTATCATATTTGATTTGGATTTCAATTTCAAAAGCTTGTAGAATGTTTTCTACTTAATCAATGTCAATGTTTATTCATTCATTTTGTTCCATTTTTCTTTATCTATTTTTTAAAATAGGAAAGCAACAACAAAAATCTTTAATGTTTTTTACATTGTGAATTCAGTTTGTTATTTTTTTTTCTGGTTGTCATTTAATCGAATCGAAAATGTGAATTGATAATCAAAGTAGAAAAAAAACCATTGAAAAAAACGTTTTTTTCCACCTTGGGTCTTTTGTTTCAACGCAAACGATGGACACCGGTGAACAAACAAACAAAACAAAAAACAAAACCATCCTCATCATCGCACACAGTGTTTACAAATTTAAATCCAATAATAATGATGATTTGAATTGAAAAAAAACAATGAATAATTTTAATCTAATCAACATTAATAATGATGATGATGAAAATAATGTGAAAAATTTAGTAAAAGAATTTCAACAACAAAAATATTATCATTATTTTAATCATAATAATGATGATGATGATAATAATCATATCGAAATGTTGTTGGATCATAATGATAATGATGGACAATCATCATCATCATCAACATCATCGATATTCAACACCAGTCATTCATTAATATCAACAACAACAACAACAACAACAAATCAAAGCTCAACAACAACAATCAACAACAATAATAATAGTGATGATAATTTTTTCGAAACATTTTTATCAAAATCAAATTCATTTATAGAAGATTTTACATTCAATAGTTTATCTACTATATCTGCAACAACAACAACAACAATACCGACAACAACAACAACAACAACAACAAATGATACAATTGAACAAACAATAGTCATATTGGAACCAGATTTACGTATACATTATCCGGGTTTAGCAATATTACTTGGAATTATTTGTATAATTGTTGTATTTGGTAATGGTTTAACAATGTTATCTATTTGTAAAGAACGTTATCTTCGTACGGTTACAAATTATTTTGTTGCATCATTAGCATTTGCTGATTGTTTAGTCGGATCGATTGTAATGCCATTTTCAGTTGTACATGAAGTAATGAATAAATGGTGGATTTT